GAAAGGTGGAAGATATAAGACAGAAAAGCAAAAGATGAAAATTAGGGGAGAATTTCTGAGGTCAGGAGACATCCTGGGCGCAGGCAGAGGATTAGCCTAAAGTCAACAGGAAGGACATCTCTCATCTAAACAACAGAAAGAAAACAAAAAGTATGAACACAACGATAAGTAAATTTACAAGTCATGAGACTAAAATGTCCGTTTTACAAATGAAGCCATTATTTAAAAGAAATATGGCAAAGTTCATAATCTTTCCTACTCTTGGGCAGAGACTTACATTGGGCAGGAAAATTACCTGGTGTCCCAGACAGGGTAGTAGCTTAGTGTGCTTCAGGTTTATCTGCTTAAGTATTTGTTCAACAATTAGTGAGTGAGGGTGGCCCATACTGGTAGGAGTGGGCTTATATCCCCTAAAGGATGCTGTCTTCTTTCATAGGTGTGGCAACAAGTTCTTTTATAATTACTTGGTTGGAGAGGCACCTGGGCGGCTCAGCCTGTTAAGCATTTAACTCTCAATTTTAGCTCAGTTCATGACCTTGGGATTGTGAAATAGAGCCCTGCACTGGGCTCTGCACTGGCCATAGAGGCTGCTTAAGATTCTCTCTCCCTCTCCCTCTGCCCCCTGACTCTGGTGTCCGCATTCTCTAACTCTCTTAACTTTTTGCATACACAAAAAATAATAATTACTTGGTTGGAAATTTGATTTAATTGGCACTATACTTCTTATTTCTATTATATTTTAACAATCCTTAGAGGTTAACATATTTGACACTTTCTTGGCTGGGCCTCTGCTAGTCCTTCTCAACCCTACATTAGAACTACCAGTGGAGCTTTTTAAATGTATACATGCCATTGTCCCATCTCTGGAAGTTCTGATTCAGGAGGCCCGGGGTATGGCCTGAGGGTGTATCTTTTTTTTTCTAATTGCGATATAGTTGACACATAATGTTACATTAGTTTCAGGTGTGCAATATAGGGATTCAACAAGTCTATATGTTACCATTCTGCTCACCACAAGTGTAGCTACCATCTGTCGCCATACAGAGCTATTAGGAAACCATTGACTATATTCCTGACACTGTATCTTTTTTTTTTTTAATCCCTGTGACTTATTCGTTCCATAACTGGAGGCCTATATCTCCCACCCTCCTTCACGCATTTTACCCATCTCCCCACCCCCTCCACTCTGGCAACCATCAGTTTGTTCTCTATTTCTGCTTTTTGTTTGTTCATTTGTTTTGTTTTTTAGATTCCTCATATAAGTGAAACCATATGGTATCTTTTTAAAGCTTCACAGGTGATGCTGATGCCCTACCAGAGTTGAGAACCATCCTACAGTCTTATTAGGTGGTTTCTCTAATCCCCCAGCTCTGACATTATGTGTTTATATTACTACTCTGGCTATTTTCTAAAACTGTGTTTTGTTTTTGTTTTTTACAGAAGACATAGATGAAAATCTCCTGTTTTGAATTATGATTTGAAAGAACTCATACATTCCAGCATCCTCCTGTGTTTCTGACCACTCCTGAAATTATATGCAGCCACAATACTTGTAGATTTATATTTAGTAAAATGTTTGCATGTCTGAGAAGACAATGAGAGTAATTGCTTGCTAACAGTGTATGCACCGAGCATTTAACATTAACTTCAGAAATAAAATTTTAAATAAAGTCAACATATGCAAAATACTGTGTACTATTTGTGAACAGGAGTTTAACTCATCACTCTCTGCATCCATTTATGAGATACTAATTATAAAACTTGAAGAAAATACTACAATCATTTTGTTCATAATATCATGTACACTTCAAGAAAATGGAATAATGCTCTTTTGTTGTTAATGTGTATTATTTTCAGTATCTTAACATCCTAATAAAAATCTAAATGCTTACTCAAGCTTATTTCCAGTCATTTATTTAAACAACTGTATGTGAAAGACCAACTCAGGACTAACACTTCAAATCAAATTATAATTGTGCTTCCTAGATCCTACCACTTTTAAAAAGAAAAAAAAGTGTGAGTGTGGTTGGGGGAGATGTTTCCTATGGGAAACAAATATTCAGTTGCTAAATAGTAGATACTTATTAATGTCCTTTGTCATAATGTAAATTTAAACAGAAAAAATAAATAAATTCAAGTGCTTTTTTACTAAATTCAATTTAATATATGGATGACTGTACACTCCTCAGTACAACTAATTTTAACTGTCATGCAGTTGTCCAAGTGTGTTGGGGGAAGGGGGCCTTGCAAAATTTCTACACATTTCATGTCCTCAAAATACAAGTCATGTAAAGATAACACAGACAGTAGAAAGCTCTGAAGTGTCTTAATGTCCAAGGTGGTCAGAGATAAATATTACTACTGTAAATTGATAGCAAGAAATCAGTCATAAGAGAAAATTTATATTTTCATTTGAACTCTTTCTTCTTTGATAACTATTAATACAGTAAAGGCTAGATTGCAAAAATAATAAGACACCATAATAGAGCTTTTTCCAAGGTCTGAACTAAGGCATAAAAGAACCTGTCACCTTCTATATTCTACTTAACAATATTTAAAAGAAAATGTTTTTGTTACATATTTTCCTATCTGAAAGATATCAATGCAAATATCTTTTTTTTTAAATAATCAAAAATGTGTTGTTGTGGTTAAGAGCTTTGTCTGTTGTAGTGACTGAGAGAATGTGCCCCAAAGAATTTCATCTGAAGGAACTTATGGAAAAGTTTGCTTTTTATCAGAATAATTTTCTCTGATTAACTTCAAAATTGTATTACCTATTTTCATAGCTCTGTGAGTCACTTCTTAACCAGACCATATCACACCAGTCATTTTTAAATAATTAAATTCAATTTGAATAATCAAAATCTAAGTATTATATATAATTTTTTCCATCTAGGGAAATAATTTTAGAAATTATTCCAAAATTCAGAATGTTTTTATTTATAGCTGCAAAGAAATGTCATGAGAAGTCTTAACTAATTAGTTATAAATTTATGAATTTGTTAGGAACAGTGAAATTATATTTGGAGGTATTAATTAGAACTAAATTACCACTTTAAATGTTTTAGAATAGTGAAAAGTGATTTTAGTTATAAAGACACTACCTGTTTATTAAAATGTTTTATTTGAAAATAAGTTCATTTTGGAATGATAAATATTATTTAATAATAGAAAATTTTAGAACCTTAAATTTTCTGTCCACTAAGTCTCCCTCGTGTATTGCTGCCCTAGATGATGTATTGTAGATGTACTTTAATATTCTTGGTAGTCACAATTTTTAATTGTGGTTTGTTTGTAATAAAGACATTGCTCTAATCCCGATCAAGGAGATGAAGTTATTTTCTCAGTCATCAGTCTTTAAGCCCTATCTCTGTGTGAGATACTTTAGAAAAGCTGGACTTCTAGTCTGAAACCATTTATTCAGTTTAGCTTTAAATCTTGTGACTCATATTGCCCATGACCATAAAGGCATTAGTAATATGTCTTAAATACTAGATGGGTGTGCAGATTCTAGAAGATCACACTGCTCCTTGACTTCTTTGCTCCGAGGGCCATTTGAAGCAAAGGTAATATGGTATATTCTGGGCTGATGCTATTGCATTAGGTAAAAGAAGGTAAAATTTTCTCACATTGGGTAATTTATGATTTCTAGCAAGCCCACTTATCAAAGAAGAAAATTCAGGGGTTTAGATCCTGAAGGAAGAAAAGTCCAAAGGAGCAACTTGAAAAAGAAGAGAAAGGTAGATAAGTTGCCTAATTCAGGCAAAGTAAAATAGCATGAGGATAAGTCATAGTTGAGTTTAAAATATATATAAAATAGTTGAAGAGTGGCTTTTATAAAGAGATTATACCTTGCTTCAGATGCTGGTGACAAGTCTTATTAAGAATGTGATGAATCTAGGGCGCCTGGGTGGCTCAGTTGGTTGGGCGACTGCCTTCGGCTCAGGTCATGATCCTGGAGTCCCTGGAGCGAGTCCCGCATTGGGCTCCCTGCTTGGCAGGGAGTCTGCTTCTCCCTCTGATCCTCCCCCGCCATGTGCTTTCTCTCTCTCTCATTCTCTCTCCCTCAAATAAATAAAATCTTTAAAAAAAAAAAAGAAGAATGTGATGAATTTGATTTTTCTTTCAAAATTCAATTCCAGAGTACAGTGGTTTGGTTTGAAACCCACATGGTAAGTTAATTTGAATTAAATGTGATTTAAGACTGTAAAAATGCTTGCTTTCAGAATCTGATGGCCAGTAAAGACCACACTGATTTCCTTTTTTGAATTTACTCATATTTACTCGTATTGTGCTATTCTCTACCAACCCACTGTGCCTTACAAGACTTTTCCCCTATCATTTTCTTCTTGAGAAATTATAATTGTCAGTAACAGCATCCAGACTATGTGAAGGTCTAGTAAGTCTCATGTGGGTAGAAGCTTGAGGTGGATTTATGTGCATATTATATAAGAAATCTCATTGGAGGGGTACCTGGATTAAGCATCTGCCTTTGACACAGGTCATGATCCCAGGGTCCTGGGTTCGAGCCCTGCATTGGGCTTTCTGCTCAGTGGGAAATCTGCTTCTCTCTCTCTCTCTCTCTTTCTCTCCCTCTCTCCCTCCCTCCCCACTGCTCGTTCTATCTCAAATAAAAAAAAAAAAATCTCATTTGAGCCAGTGGTGATATGTCCCCAATACGAAGTATGATGCAACACTGGTGTTTAAAGATTGGTGGGTAGAGGTCACAAATTCAAATAACTTCAGGGACCAAACAGGTATAGGTTAAACTGTGAGATTATAAGGAAGAGTAGGAATTGTATGCAATGTTATGAGCCCAAGAATGTATGTCTTGTCTGAAGGCATTCAAAGTTTTTTTAAAGCACTGTTCTAGGCTTACAAAACCTAAATCTGGAGGCAGAATTTAGCTTGACCACTATTTCAACAGCTCTAAGTAAACAACCTATTTACAACAGAAATAGGACTCAGAAAAAACTAAAAATGATCTTCTAACCCTTCAATTCCAGACTCTTCCTTCAGAATGCAATTTCTCATCTTGGCTGGCCTTTTGAGCATTGCCACTGCTCTGCCCATCCCTGTGAGTACACGTCCTCCATTGTCCACTCCATTTCCATTCTGGAGACAGTATTTCTGGGCTAGGAAGACTTTCCTGTATCTTTTCATTTCACAAAAGAGAAAGGTAGAGTCCAGGAAAGTTGTAGACTCAGGAATTTATCATTTGTCCTCACCCAGTGGTCTTCCCAGGACAAATCTCAGTCCCACGTGCCATCTGCTAACTGGGTGACCTTGAGCAAGGAACTGACCCATGGCTTCCCAGTCTGTAAAATGAGTCATAAGAATGACCTGAGTAGTGCAAAGATAACAAAAATACATCTGAAGCACATAAGAGTCCTGACTGGAAAATAGGAAGCTCTCAAGTAAATTTAGCAAGATGGAACTCCTATTCCATAGTGACCTAAGTCTTAAGTATGCAGTTTGAATTGAGTTTCATTTATGATATCTTTACCCCAGTCCGTCTCACCTTGACTATAGCCATGCCTTCTGCATCTATACCAATGAGATCCAGGAGTGTCAGCTGTATCAGCTACAGTCTGATTAAGTAGGACACCCAGGAGACAAGAAATCCTCTTTCCTGCACGTTTTGTAACCAAGGAGCTTTCAAAGTACGGGAGCTTTCAAAATTTGTATTTGGGGATACAAAATTTAAATCTACAGTACTATACTCCCTTCACTTTGAACTTCTAAACACTGAGAACTAAATTGAGAACACTGTTGATTCGAAGATAAAGAGGCATGCAACATGTAATTACTCTTAAGAAATGTAAATGAAAACATTATTCCGAAGTAAGTTTAAAGGCAAAAAGTACACCTTCTAAATTACTGGACAAAATCAATTCGATCTTTCCCCATTAGATAGGCAACCACTTTTCATTTCAGAAGTGAAGGTGCAGGGGCGCCTGGGTGGCTCAGTCGTTAAGTGTCTGCCTTCAGCTCAGGTCGTGATCCCAGGGTCCTGGGATGGAGCCCCGCATCGGGCTCCCACATCGAGCCCCCACATCAGGCTCCCTGCTTGGCGGGAATCCTGCTTCTCCCTCTCCCACTTCCCCCTGCTTCTGTTCCCTCTCTCGCTGTGTCTCTCTCTGTCAAATAAATAAATAAAATCTTTAAAAAGAGAAAAAAGAAGTGAAGGTGTAGAATAGTGGCCTGTTATCTATTCTCATAAAATCTCTTTGTAACAAATACTGTATTGTCATATGTTGCTTCACCTTGTTGTTGTTGTTTTACAAGCTTGAACAATTTGAAGGAAGTACCAGTGAACAGGTAAACTTCTCATTGTATTTTCTAATACCGTGTTCATCATTTTTAAAGTTTACAGTTGTCTGAAATGACTGACATCATGTTTCTTTTTACAGAGATTTGGCTTTTACCCACCACCAGGACCACCATTTTTTCCCCAGATCCTGTTTCCCCCACCTCGGCCTCCCCAACTGCCCTTGGTAAACATGGGTTTGAGGAATCTCAAATTACAAAACATATGTATTACTTAGATGATGGTTATTACATTTCCCAGATTTTCATACCCAAATATGAGGCTTTAAGATGTTGCCAGGCATCAGCTCCTCACACCCCCGCCCCACATAGCCTGTGGTGGAATGTGACGAGGGGCCCAAGGATTTCCCCCTCTGAATAATGAGTGACTTCTTCCAATTGCCATCAAAAAGGTGTTCATACTGAATTCCTTTGTGGTGAGCCTAGTTGCTCTTCATGAAGAAAATACTAACCTCTTTCAATACCTTTTTCTTTTCCTTTTTTTAAAGATAACCGTAAAGATAGATATATTTTTTATTTTTAAGGATTTTATTTATTTGTTTGACAGAGAGAGACACAGCGAGAGCAGGAGCACAAGCAGGGGGAGTGGGAGAGGGAGAAGCAGGCTTCCCGCCGAGCAGGGAGCCCGATGCGGGGCTCGATCCCAGGACCCTGGGATCATGACCTGAGCCGAAGGCAGACGCTTAACGAGTGAGCCACCCAGGCACCCCAATACCTTTTTCTAAATCATCTTGCTGCTTTTAATTTTTTTTCCAGCTCTCTGTAACTTTTTCTCACAGGTGAAACAATGTAATTATTTTACTCTTCCTGTTAGTTCCTCTCCAATGTCTAGTATCTAGATTCTTGTAACATTTTTAAATAAAGGCCAGAAGAGTGCTAAATACATAATAGAATTTCCTTCACTCTCTATGTAATACTTACACTCATACAGACAGATAACATTCATTCGATTAATATTTACTGAGTGTCTACTGCATGGTAGGGTCTCTAGTGAGGGCTGGAAATACAAAAACTATGAGATAAGTTCACAATCGGATGAGAGAGAAATTTGTAAATGTAAAAATATAAGTTAAGTGCTTCTAGATGTAAATACAAAGTTGATTTGGGCCGTGGATCAAAGACTTCATTCACAGAGGAGACGTGAGCCGAGCCAGGTGACAAGGGCTGAGGAGTGGGTGGGGCGCTGCAGCAGAGGGAACTGCAAGTGTGTGGGACAGACCTGAGAACGACAGGACAATTTGGGCGAATGATCAGTATAATGAGGCTGTAACACAGACTGGAGATATGTTAAATTTGGACGGTATTTAAGCAATGATATTTTGAAAAGTTCACACACATTTTAAAATAGAATCTTGCTTAACTTCTTGTCTACCACCTACTTTGAAAACAAACATGGTTTTGTATGATTTTTGTTTTATATCTAAATGTAATAAACACCTTTTTGCTTGTATTTAATTTCAAATTGTTTATTTCACAACTTTAAGTAGGCTTTTGGAAATTTGTCACTGAAGTTACAGTCCTCAATGGAACAGTCTTTCCCTTTAATGTTTTCACATATCCTGAATTTCTAAGTACTTGCATTTATCATTAATTGCTAATTAATTGCTAATTTTGGTTCTAGTCAAGACTAGAGCATTGTGTCCCTTTTCGTTTTTTGGCTGAAATTCAGTAAGATTTAAGTTTCTCTGTTAACATCTTATGTAAATCCGTGTGGCAACAAAGAAATCACTAGTATTTGAAATGGAAACTTCCTTCCACCAGATGGCAGAGTAGTATTAAAATCAAAGAATCAACTACTATAGAGAAACTGGCAGATTCGCAAGAACTATCAAGCACGTAAGACAGATTCCTTGGCTTTCTATTTGACTAATTAAGCCAAAAAAAAAAAGCATACCTCTAGAGAGAAAAAAATAATTTAAAATCCCTTAGAACCTAAGCTCCACCAAGTAGAAAGTGGGCTCCTTGAGAGCATATAATTGCTCAATAAGTACTGGATGGAGGATGGATGGATGAATGAGTTAATGAGAAAAAAAGCTAAAACAAAATTTTGTTTTATTCACAATTCACTTTTCCCCTCTCTTTTTTTGTAGATTCCAATTCCTCTTCCTTTTCCTTTTGATCCAAATCAGGTAAGTATACTTAAAATTTCCTTAAAGTATTTAAATGAATACAAAACAAAAACTTGAAAATTCTTTAGATTTAATTGGAGAGAAACCTGATACCAAGGATTAATAGTCATCATTCTCTTTTGGACTTTCAGTTATTGGTATTTTATCTGGTTTGAGTCATTTAATGTACAAATCTCACATACCCTTGCAAACTGAACTACCTAAGACCTGAAACTTTCCTGGATCGTGTGGAAGGAACCCAGGAAACTAGTAGAAAAAGCATTTGAAGTCAAATAATCTGGGGATGCAAACTCTGCCATTTCATACTTTGGAGTGATCTTGAATTTCTTTGAGTCTTTCTTCTAGATCATAAAATAATGAAAATGACTTATAAAGTCCATTTTACCTCTAAAATCTTATGTTTATATCTGCCATTAATGAGAGAAAAATGCATTCTTACTGAAATGGAATCCTTTGAACTGGATTTAAGATTATGGTCATCTTATAAAAGGATTATTTAAATTTCACTTTTGACAGGATTTTGCTGAATGGGAGGACAATTACATGTGATGAGATTGAGTCACAAACCAAAAAATAAGTTGTGTATTTTATAGCATATTAAAACTAAATTTTTTAATGATACTCCTATTACAATGATAGGAAATGACATTATTAAGGTTTTCTTTCATAAAGAAGTGATCCTAAAATATAGTCTTTTTCCAACCTAGTAGGCATAAGTTTAATGACCTTTTCAAAAAGTCCCTGCTGTTTGGAAACCACAAAAGAAAATGTGGACTATATGCTTCCAGAGATAGTAGGTTTGCAGGGGAAGGAAAGGGGAGTTACTTAAAATATTAGTGAATATGATTCTTAATGACATAATTTTAGAAATGTAAGAATTCTAAAAAGCATGTTTTCATTAATCAAGCTAATATAAAATGTATAACAGACAAGATAGACAAAATGCTGAATTACAACTCCTTATTTTATTACGTTTTATTCTAGGTCCTGACACTTAATGATCTTATAATGGTAAATATATCTGCCCTCTTAATGTATAAAGTTCATAAAAATGTTACATGGAACTCCTTATATAAGATAAGCCAGTTCATCATGAAAATTACTATCTTTATGCTTTTTTTTTAAGATTTTATTTATTTATTTGACAGAGAGACACAGCGAGAGAGGGAACACAAGCAGGGGGAGTGGGAGAGGGAGAAGCAGGCTTCCCGCTGAGCAGGGAGCCCAATGTGGGGATCGATCCCAGGACCCTGGGATCATGGCCTGAGCCGAAGGCAGACGCTTAACAACTGAGCCACCAGGCACCCCGAAAATTACTATCTTTATTGGTCTAATTCATTTGGAAACAAAATAAAGCACAGCTGTTAAATTCAAAGCCAAAAAACAATCTCAATGCACGTGGACAGTTCTACATTCACTATTGAATTCATCCAAACTATAAATTGACAAAACAACTTCTTCCATCACTGATGAGGGTGAAAGTGAAGAGTTGAAAGACTTAGAGAATAAATTGCTTTAGGAGAAATGAAATAGACTTGATTATTTCTTCACTAACAAGGCATTAGTATAAACACATAATACATTAAAAATTATCAAATCTAAATTCCAACAGATAATACTTTTTTAACTGAAATGCATGAATTCAACTTTTTAATGAGGCCCTTTATTGATACAGTAAGTTAGTCAGGATCTTAGTTTATGAAAACTCAGGAGAAATACTTGAGTGGACTTATAAAAGAAAACAATAAAAAATTCCATTTCCTCTAAAAACATACTTTTCATACTTAACATTTTCTGAAATCAAGACAAACCTCACAACAGATACATATATTTATTCTAAGGAGATCTCCTTTTTCTTTAAAATGCAATCATCAACTAAATGGTACATTTTACAGTTGGTGGTATCTTAGAATCAAGGACATGCATATTTTGTACAAATGTCAGAAAATTAGACCTAAATCATTTGTGTGCCTGAGGGAAAAATTTTCAGATTCGAGACTATTTAAAGCCAACCATCTTGAGGAATAGTTAAGTGTCCCAGAACCTTGAGATCAAATAGCTTCTGAGTCTAATCAATAAGAACTTAAGTCTCTTGATTTGAAGTGCTAGTGCTCTCCCCACAATCCACTCTGTTTAAGCAACATTATAGTCCATTTCCAAATGGCAAACAATAAAAATTCTTGCATATTTCTAATTAAAATGTTTTAGGAAACTATCTTCCATGATTAATTACTGATGATTACAAAAATAGCAAGTTCACCTCAACATCAAAACATGGCTGAAAGACCACTGGCCTGCAGTTAGAAAGCTTAGATTCTCATCTTACTTTTACAATTAAATTAGCTGTGTGACCATGGGAAAAAGTATAGTTTACCTCCAAAGTCTCTTCCAGTGGAAATACTGACTCCTCAGACACAGGACTCATTCAGATTACCAAATCTGAACACTTAATACCTATTTATACTTTCTTTTACTGAACCTTTTAAAAGTATTATTGGCTGGGGCATCCGGCTGGCTCAGTCAGTAGAGCATGGGACTCTTGATCTTGGGGTTGCGAGTTCGAACTCCACGTTGAGTGGCGAGATTACTTAATAAAATCTTAAAAAAAAAAAAAAAGTGCTGTTGGCCGCAACCCATCGTGGGAAGAATTCTGACAGAATAACTTATAGAATTGCCTTATCTTCATAGTCATAAGGATTTTTTTCTCCCAGTGATCCTAGTTAAGTCAGAAAGCAGGAAGAGGCCCCCTAAGAGAACAAACACTACCTCAGGTATTGCTCTTGCCTAAGAGAAAATTGGGACATTGTTTAGCTTACATGTTCTTGCATATGTGCTGGGGTGGACAGCTCTGCAAATAAAGGGATTCGCCTTCTTTCAGTGGTCAATTCCTTGAGCGAGCTGCCAGTCTGTTAAAACAGAAGGACCTCTGGAAGCTACAAAGCAGTACTTTTCCAGTGAAACTGCTTGTCTAAGCAGACCCTCAAAGCAAAGTAGTCACAGTTGTCCTAAAAT